ATTAGGAGCAATTTTTTTAGAATAATTATCATATATGTATTATCCCTTGTCATTGGGTTTTGGTATTTTTTTTATCTTATCGAATGTTTAAAATGTGAAATATGGCCGAATTTCTGGGAGTATTTTATGGTTTTCGGGACATTTTACTATCACGAAATTAATATGGATTTTATATTGAGAAAGTATTATTTTTTCTATAGAGCTTATCTCTTCAACTACACCCGATACAATGAGACACAATTTGATCAATATTTCGATTTAACAAACATTACAATTTAAAATATTTATTAAAAAATTACATTTTTAATAAAATTACATTTATTTTTTAATAAAATTATTTTTTTTTTCTAACATCCACAGGTTTTGCTTTTATTATTATTTCTGCTCCGCTAACAATCTTTTCCATTTTCTTTTCGATCAGATCATCTTTATTGTATTTCTCTCCGAAATAGTCCAAGGTTAAATTTGCAGAGGTGTTTACTTTCTTTAAAGTATCCTCGTAGTTTAGATTTTCGTGGGTGAGTTTATCATTATTATCTTGAAGTTTTTTGTTTTCATCGGATAATTTTTTGTTCTGATCAGACAAGGTCTTGTTATCGGCTATTAATTCGGCATTTTGTGCCTTGAGTTTATCATTTTCTTCCTTGAGCGGTTTCAGTTTTTCATTTTTATTTTTTAGATTATTTATTTCGTTGGTTAGGTTGGTTATTTGGTTGGTTAGAGGTTCTTTTCCTTTTTTTAACTCTTCATTTTCTTTTTTTAATGCTTTTATTTGATCCATTAACCTGTTAAAATCTCCTTGAATACGGTCCGCAAGGGCGCTACCACTTGGGATTTGTATTGCTCTCGGTTGAAGATTGGTTTTATCAGACATGTTTTTATTTTTTTTATTTTTTTTACATATTTTATTTATTTATATATTTTGAAATGTTTAACAAAAATAAAAAAGGAAATTAAAAACCGTTATTGATTTTGTTTTTGATGGAAAGAAATTCTTTACATTGCTTAACAAGATCGTCTATTTTTTTATCAATTGGTTCATTTTTGTTAAAATTTTTATCTAAAGAGGTTAAGACAATATCAATCTCACTAATAGTTTCTGGACCCAAGTTTGAATATTTTTTTAACGTTTCAAGTAAGAGATTGATGTGAACGATAATATCATCGTTTTCATCGAATACGACCTCGAGAATCTTTAAGCTTTCATGGATTTTAATTTTTATGGTTTCCACGATTTTTTCGCATTCTTTGATTTTTTCAATGATTTTTTCATGTTCTTTGCGTGATTCTTCGAGCTTAATTTCCAATTCTCTGATTTTGTTTCCCTGTTCTTTTTCTTTTTTACGGCATTCTTCCAACTTGATTTCAGTTTCTCTTTCTTTTTTACGGCATTCTTCGAGTTTATTTTCAAGTTCTTTTACTTTTTCACGGCATTTATCTATCTCACGTTTGTGGTCTTCTAGGTTGATGTTGATGTTGTTGTTATTGTTGTTGTTATTGGTGATGTAATAATGAGGTTGATAATAGGTTATGGGACAGCATTGACGACATGGTCTTCTCCATCTTGGTCTTCTCCGTCTTCGTCTTCTTCTACCACCTCCTCTATTCCACCAATTTCTCCAACACCAGCACATGTTTTTTTATTTAATTATTGTAATGTAAACGATTTGTTTTTTATTTAATTATTTTATTGTAAACATTTTATAGAATAAATTTCATTGTTTTACAATAAGATTATACATGTATGGTTGCATTAAAGTATGATAGTATAAATAAATTATTTAAATCTGTTTGAAATTTGTCTTGATTTTTTTACAACAACAAATAAATAAAAAAAAAAATGAGCAGCAACGATCGGTCTGCAGCACTTAATAATCTTGTCAAAGAAATTGTCGAGGAACAGAACGAAGCAATCATTCGTAGAATTGTTGAAGAAAAAATCAATCAAATTGTAAAAGAAGAATCGTCCAAGACTCACGATGATCATGTGAGAAGAATCATTAAGGAAGAATTAAACAGGCATGAAATTAAAAGAGAGGAAAGGGAAGAATACGAACATGAAGAAGAGAGAAGTGCTCATATTGTGATTCACGCGCCTCATCATCATTATTCTGAGCATCGTCGTGAGCGTGAGTTTAGGGAGGGTGAACGTAAGTTGCATGATGTGTTGAGATGTTTTAGGATCGATTTTCGTCCGGAGGATGAATTTATTAAAAAATTAGAAAGGTTGGAGAATCATTTTATTAGGGAGGAACGAGGAAAGTACGAATACGAATAACTTTTTTTATTAAATTTGTATTTTTTAATAAAATTTTAAGTATTTTTTTATAAAAATTTTATAATTTGTAAATTTATTTATAAATTATTAATAAAAATTCTATATTTTTTGTTAATCCAATGAAGAAGTTGTTCAGTTCTAAACAATGAGCCACCTTCTACATGATCTCTATTTACATGTTTTGAGCGATAATATGATACATAGACACCTTTAATATCTTCATATTTAAATTGTCTGTATATAAAATCTGATGTATTTTCTACTGTTAAATTATACGCATCCTCTTTAATAAAAGTAAGAATATTTTTTTTTATATGAGGAAGTTTAAGACTTTCAAATTTTTTTTCGTGTTGTTTTTCATTATATTCTTCAAGACATTTATCGATAAATTCATATATTAATTCGTCAGATATATGTATTTCTAAAAAAAAATTAACATTACATTATTTTTTGATGAATTTTTTTAATTTTTTTACTTGTTTCTACAAGTCTTTCGAATTTTTTATTTGTTGTCTCATTTTCAGGTGATGGATTATTAAGGTTATTTAAACTTTCTTCCAACATTCTTATAATAATTTCTTCACATTCGTCTATTTCAATAAAATTATTAAAAGGTTGAATTAAAGAAAATAATTTAAATATTTATCTTCATTTTTTTTATGTTCTCGATATTCAATGTTAAGTTTTTCATGTTCACTTTTAAGTTTTTCATGTTCTTGTGATAATTTTTCATATTTTTTTTTTGTTTCGATTAGCGAATCAACTTTATTTTCTAAAGTTTTCATTTTTTATTAATTAACGAGTTAAGAATATGTTTTATTTAAATTTGAAAGATCATTACACGCGTTAACTAATAAATACATTTTTTGATTTATGTTAATGTTTTTATCGTATTTAATATCCAATAAACTTAAGGAAAGGTCAATGTCTCGTTCAAGTTTCACAAAATCCATCTCTTTGAATAAAATATTGTAAAAATTTATATATAAAATGTAAAAATTATGATAAATTTGATGAATTATTTCGTTTAGATGCAGGTGAAACTTGAAGATTTTCAGGTGTAATTCTAAAAAAAAAAGAAGTTTATTAATTTTCACGAAAGAAAAAAAAAAAAGACAAAAATACAAACCAATTAAAAAGTTTAACATCGTTACTTTTTTTTAAAAAAAAAGATGTTATTTATCTTTTTCGTGGTTTTTTTGGTGATGTGGCTTTTCTTTTTCTGTTTTTTTTCTTTGGTTTTGGGCGTTTTATTGTTGCTGGAGCAGATCCTTTTGGTTTATGCACGTTTTCGTAATATGCTCTACCCCCTTTACCAAATTTTTGCACAAAGATGCCGCCATCGTATTGTTTTGTGATCTTTCCATTCTTGTTTAGTATGGGCACGTAGCGCTTTTTATGGAAATCCCATGTATGGAGAATCGGCAGGTTGCGGTGCAACCTATGTGGTTCCACTTCGATGATGATCTCTGCTGCATGCAGGTCAAACAGGAGCACAAGTGCAATCAGAAACCACAGAATGAATCTCATTCTGTTTAATTTTCCGGAGAACCAATTATTTAAATAGATCTGATTTAGTAAAGGTTGGGTTTATATAAGCAATTACGATAGTTTGATTACATGTGAGTTTATCATCATTATGTAATATTTTTTTTAAAAAAACTAATAATTATTATTATGTAGCATGAAAATCATCTGGTTTATCATTTTATTACTCATAATCAATTGTTATCATGCTTCGGAGTACAGTGTTTTTTCAAAAAATTTCAATCTAACAGAGTGTTTGAGCAACGTAAACAAGACGCACAACATCTTTGAGGCTGAGGATTTGCATGTTATCAAGCGTCGGGTGAATAGCATGTTTACGGAGATGATACTCTGTCTTCATATGTTAAAAGATCATTGTAAATTGTCTGTTAAATTACGTAATTTATTACATAATGATTAAATAAAGATATTTATACATTGATTTTCCTTTTATCCGTAAATAATTTCTTTAATGTGCATATTCATGTGAGTTGACATTGGTTAATTTCTTTATTATTTCTTAAAATTAATCGTATAATATTTGTTTAGGATGAAAATTACTATTTGGATTATATTTTTTTTCTTTATACCTCTTAATCTTTGTCATGTTATGGAGTACGAATATACTGCACATAATCGTACATATAATCTTACCGAGTGTTTGATTGAGGCGAATAAGACACATAATCTCTATGAAAGCAAGGATTTGAACAATGTAAAATATCGATTTAACAGTATTTTGCAAGAGATAATAATATGTGTTGATGAGTTTAAAAATGATTTAAAGATAGAATGTAACGTTACATATCCATGTTTTTTATTTTAAGATTTAAATATAAATTTTTAATATTTTGATTCAAATAAAATGATTTTTAATATGATTAAGAAATGTATTATTTCTATTTTAGCCTTTTTTTATCTAGCTTATATTTATTTTCTTTCTTTTTTTAAAAAAAATAATGATGAAAATAATGATGTTATTAACAGTATCGTTCAGCAGATGAAATTAAAAAAATGGAAATTTGACGAAAATTCTATTAAAAAAAGAATCAAGATCTATATAAAAAAAATTGATAATGAAACGGAATTTAAATATGATATGCCTCCTTTGATTATATCTGAAAATTTTTTAAACCTCAGTGAGGATGCTTCTTTATTGTGCAGTGAAAAACTTTTACATTGGGCAAGAAGAAGAATTTACAGAAAAAAGGGTAATTATATTAAAATTAAGAAATAATTATTTAATTCTAATTAAGTTTTTATTTTAAGAAAATAAAAAGGAACTTAACGAAGAAAAATTTGATGAAATTGCTGAAAAGATTCTAAAATTATTAAATCTCGATCTCGTTAAAAATAAAAATATACAAGAAGAAATTGTTGAATACATTAGAAAAATTAATAATTTAACCAACGAAAATGATAATAATTATCTTGATTTTGAATTTAAAAATATACAAGATTTATTTCCAAATTCACTTTATGTAGAAAACTTTTTTCATTGGGTTACTAGATACATTCATCATAATTCAACCTAGTTGTGTTTTCTCTTTATTTTTTTTTTTTAAAAAAAAAATTGTATAACATGTGTTGACATGTTTAAGAACGATTTAAAGATTGAATGTAGCGTTACATATTCATGTTTATTTTAAAATTATAAAAAATTTTAGAATAAATTATTATTTTAAAAAATTTAAAAATGTATTATTGGTTAACGAAAACCAAGAATTCATTTCGATATTTTCATAATTGTAAAGAAAACTTAATAACAAATGACTAATTCCATAAGGAAACATAATACAAAACCAA